ATGTAATTTTATTTTTCTAATCAGCTGGCTTTAAGATCCATAACTACAACTTTTTAAGAGATATCATAAAAAGATATAAATGCAAACAAAAAAATTGAAAAAGGGGGGATGCAGTTAAAGTATAGAGTTTTTTTTAGCTTTCTATTGCTGTTCGTTTATTTTTTGTAAGTAAAGTTGCCATTACTTTGAAATAATTGGTTATAAGATTTTTTTGTAAGCTTCATGGTAATCTCAAATTAAAAGACCTACAACAGATACACAAAACATAAAAAGCAAGAAACTAAAACACACTACCAGAGAAAATCACTTTTATGGAGAGGAGCGGGGAGGGGAGGGGGAAGGAAGGACCACAAAACAACCAGAAAGCAAGTAACAACATGGCAGTAGTAAGTCCTTACCTATCAATAATAACACTGAATGTAAATGGACTAAACTGTTAAATCAAAAGACAGAGTGGCTGAATGGATTAAAGAAAACAAGACCCAACCATATGCTGCCTATAAGAAACTCACTTCACCTATAAAGACAGAAATAGACCGAAAATAAAGGAATGGAAACAGATGTTCTATGCAAATGGAAACCAGAAAAGAGCAGAATACTTGTACTTATATCAGATAAAATAGATTTCAAGGAAAAAACCTGTAAAAACAGATAAAGAAGGTCATTACATAATGATATGTGGAGTCAATTCAGCAAGGGGATGTAACAATTGTAAATGTATGTGCACCCAACACTGGAGCATCCAAATATATAAAGCAAATATTATTAGAGCTAAAGAGAGAGATAGACCCCAATACAATAATCATTGGAGACCTCAACACCCCACTTTAGCATTGGACAGATCATCCAGACAGAAAATCAACAAAGAAACATTAGACTTAATTTGCACTCTAGACCAAATGGACCTAATAGACATTTAAGGGCATGTCATCCCACAGCTGAAGAATATATGTTATCCTCTTCAGTACATGGATAATTCTCAATGATAGATCATAGGTTAGGCCACAAAAAAAGTCTTTAAAAATTAAAAAAAAATGAAATTATATCAAGCATTTTTTCTGAACACAATGGAATAAAACTAGAAATTGATAACAAGAGGAACTTTGGAAACTATACGAATATATGTAAATTCAACAATATGCTCCTGAATGACCAGTGGGTCAATGAAGGAATTAAGAAGGAAATTAACAAATTTCTTTTTTTTTTTTTTTGAGACAGAGTCTCACTGTGTTGCCCGGGCTAGAGTGCCATGGCGTCAGCCTAGCTCACAGCAACCTCAAACTCCTGGGCTCAAGCGATGCTCCTGCCTCAGCCTCCCGAGTAGTTGGGACTACAGGCATGCGCCACCATGCCCGGCTAATTTTTTCTATATATTTTTAGTTGTTCAATTAATTTCTTTCTAATTTTAGTAGAGATGGGGTCTCGCTCTTGCTCAGGCTGGTTTCGAACTCCTGAGCTCAAACAATCCGCCCGCCTCGGCCTCCCAGAGAGCTAGGATTACAGGCGTGAGCCACCGCGCCCGGCCTAAAAAATTTCTTGAAACAAATGAAAATGAAAACATTTCAGAGCCTATGGGATACAGTAAAAGTAGTACTAAGGGGAAAGTTTATAGGAATAAGTGCCTACATCAAAAAAGTAGAAAAACTTAAAATAAACAACACAATAATACACCTTAAAGAACTAGAAAAGCAAGAACAAATCAAACGCAAAATTAGTAGAAGAAAAGAAATAGTAAACACTGATGAAAGCAATGAAAGAGGACACCAAAAAATGGAAAGATATTCCATGCTCATGGATTGAAGAATCAGTATTGTTAAAATGTCCATGCTATCCAAAGCAATCTACAGATTCGAAGCAATCCCTATCAAAACACCAATGACATTCTCCACAGAAGTAGAAAAAATAACCTTAAAATTTATATGGAACTGCAAAAGACCCAGAATAGCCAAAGCCATCCTGAGCAAAACAAACAAAACTGAGGAATCACATTACCTGACTTAAAATTACACTATAGGGCCAGGCACAGTGGCTCACACCTGTAATCCTAGCACTCTGGGAGGCTGAGACAGGAGGATTGCTTGAGCTCAAGAGTTCAAAACCAGCCTAAGCAAGAGTGAGACCCCATCTCTACCAAAAAGAAAAAAATCAGCTAGGCGTTGTGGCCTGTACCTGTAGTCCCAGCTACTCAGGAGGCTGAGGCAAGAGGATTGCTTGAGCCCAGGAGTTGGAGGTTGCAGTGAGCTACAATGACGCCACTGCATTCTACCCAGGGCGACAGAGTGAGACTCTGTCTCAACAACAACAACAAAAAAAACAAGGAAACTGAACACCCCTTCTCACTGCCTCCCTTTTCATATTAAAAAACAAAACAAAAACAAATTATACTACGGAACTGTTGTAACCAAAACAGCATGGTACTGACATAAAAATAGACACATAGACCAGTGTAATAGAATAGAGAACCCAGAAATAAATCCACACATTTATAGTGACTTATCTTGACAAAAGTGCCAAGAACATATAGTGGGGGAAGGACAATCTCTTCAATAAATGGTGCTGGGAAAAGCGGATATCCATATGCAGAAGAATGAAACTAGACTAGACCCTTATCTCTTGCCATATATAAAAATCAAATAAAAATGGAATAAAGACTTAAATCTAACACGTGAAACTATAAAACTATTAAAGGAAAACACTAGGGAAATGCTCTAGGACATTGGCCTAGCCTATGCAATAATTTGTTGAGTAATACCTAAAAGCACAGGCAACTAAAGCAAAAAATGAACAAATGAGATCACACCAAGCTAAAAAGCTTCTGCACAGCAAAGCAAACAATCAGCAAAGGGAAGAGACAACCCACAGAATGGAAGAAAATATTTGCAAACTACCCATCTGACAAGGGATTCATAACCAGAATATATAAGGAGCTCAAACAATAGCAAATAAGCAAATAATCCAATTAAAAAATGGACACAAGATCCACATAGACATTTCTCAAAAGACATAACCAAAGTATATGAAAAACTGCTCCAAAGTTTTTCATATCATGAAGCAGAAACAAGCCACCTTCGTTGTGCCCCGTCCAAATTCCTGACCCACACAATCCCTTGGCCTAATAAAATTGTTTTAACCAACTAAGTTTTGAGTGGTTTGTTACATTGCTGCAGATAGCCATAACATCCTGTAGTTTGGCAGAGCCCACAAGCTGGTGGGCCTAGGGCACATGTGTTTTACTCTATACAAGATAGATGTCTGTTACTTCTTGGCTGCTTAGCTTCCATGTGCTCTTCCTCTTTTTGAGAAAATCAGCTAAGATTCTCTCAACCTTCCTAGATCAGAAAGCCTGAACAACCCTCCTAACTAAAAAAAAAAAAAAAACCAGAAAAAATGTCAAACGATTGCAAACATCTTTATAAATACACTGGTGAGCAGGCACAAAAGTGAAAACTTTGCAAAAATTTTGAAAAATAAAGGGAGAGCTAGAATCCGGAGCAGCAAACCTAACTTTTACACTGCTAAAACCTGGAGAACATAAACTTCCACACTGACAGCTACCTGGGGCATTAAAGATAAAGCCTAGGGTCTGCCAATGCGTGGGGAATTCTAGAAGGAAACTCAGTTAGGATCCCAAAGTATAAGACTAACTGAATAATAAAAACCACCACACAGAAGGAACAGCAAGAAAATATTTGTCTTGGATGGCATGACTTTAATCAAGTTCTAATCTTCTAGGTTGGTCCAAACCCCTTAGAATAGCAGTCTGCCACAACCTCGCCTCAAGATACTGTTATTAGTCCCCAAATCTTATTCACCAGCCATTCATCTTGCTACTAATTCTTTCCACCTTCATCCTCTAGTCTATACCTTTGCATGTGCTATTCTTAGATTGCACTTTCCTTTATTCTTAAGAAAGTAATTACTCATTCAAATGTACTAGTTACAAGAAGCCTTTTCCACCTTTCCCAGCCAGTTAATTGCCTCCTCCATTGTACTCTTCATAGTGTGTTGAACATAATTATAGAAAATACTGCATTGTATTATAATTTTACATTCTGATTTTTCCATTGGACCATGAGTTTGGGGCAGTAACTGCATCGTATTCATATCTGTAACAGTGCCTTGCTTATAGTAGGCAATTTGGGTATTTTAAAAATTAAAGTGTAGACTTGTTTCTGAAATAGGATTTTATCATATTCTTTGTGTAATTTTCAGTTTTTCCTGAGCTCTAGTTCAGTGGTTCTTAGCTTTAGCTGCACATTAGAATCACTTGCTGATCTTTTCAAGCTCTTGTTTAAAAGTTTAAAGTTCTCCAGGTAATTCCAGCATGCAGCCAGGGTTGAGAATCCCTGCGATGTCTCCAGCTTGGGCCCTTCCAGCAGCTCCAAGGCAGGCAGGCTGGTGTGCGCTCCAACTGTCAGGAGTCGGACCGGCTGCACAGTTAAATACATACGTATTCTGGGCTCTTCTCTTCTTTCGGCACAGATACGCGCACAGACTAGAGCTGACTAGAGCCGCAGCTCCATCCTCAAAACCAAGCTCTTCGCCTCTCTTTACAAAATTTCAGAATCAAATTCCTGAAAGTGGACCTGCGGGAGTGGAAACAAGCCCCTTCCAAATGCCAGAAGACTTGATGTCGTCCCGGTCTTCACCAGGGCTAGGAACGGGGCACAAGGAGCAAAGAGACACATTTCCTTCGGTCGGTCCTCCCATCGGAGGCCTGGAGGGACGCAACCTCAGACATAGGCCGTACTTCAGGGTGACCCTAAGTCTCCCAGGAATGCACGACAGCAACCTCTCCTCGCCAAGGTAATCGCACCGGTAAGTGAGATCCGGTGCAGCACCTCCAGTCCCTTTCTCAGGAGCATGCGCTTACGCAGCCTTTTTCAGACGTCATATTAAAGCGCGCCGGCCGCGGAGACCTCTGGGGGATGGAGTCCATGCGAAGGCAGCGCATTGATTGGGAATTGCGGACGCCAGGACTGTTTGCGCAGGCGCGTCACTTTCCTGACCTAGAGAGTGGCCGTCTTCCCTGGTTCCGAGCACTCTGTGCGGAAGGTGAGGGTTGCGTGTGTGTCTTCCAGGAGGGGAATGAGTGCAGCGGCCAAGAGAAAGGGACACTGAGAACTTGGGGGAGGTGCTGTGGGGGTAGAACTGGGTGACGCGGGCGGAGCCAACCTGCAGAGTGTGTGTGTAGCGACGTCCCGTCTCCGAGGTGCGGACAGAAAGTTGTCCCTGTGTCCCCTTATGTGCGTTTGCTTCGTGGGGTGTGGGCACCCACTATATGTCAGATCCCGTACTTTGAGCTTGGCAGTTTGGAGTCTTCCTTTGCCCCACCCGTTCCTTCTTCCCATAATGAGTGCTTAATGAACGTGGGCGGAATTGACTCTAGGGTGTCGCCCGCTCCAGTCCCTCCCTCTTTTCCAGGAAGCGCCTCAAATTGCCTCATTTAGCTCCCTATCCTGGGCCTCTGCACAAGTACTGGGGGTGCTTCATGGAGGAGGTAGGATTTGATGTGAAAAAACACAAAAGTAGCAAAACATTAAGCAAATTTGAGACGGCGACAATTTTTACTGCAGTGCAGGAACAGTGGGAGACGGATGAAGAAAAGTACTCTAGGGCCTAAAGGTCACATTCAGGGCTAGAAAGAGGAAAGGACTAGTGGCAGGGAGCCAGTTAGGAATGTGTGATAATTCTGAGCAAGCTGTTCTGGACCTGAGTTAGGATGGTTTTAGTGGCTGGAAAAGATACAAATGACATTGGAAAAGAAAAGTCAAAAGGACCTGGTGACTAGGTTTGGAAGGAAAGAGAGCGAGGTGTAAGAGTTTGAATTTGGGACCCTTGGGAGAATAATAGAACATCTGATGGGAATGTCAAGCCAGGGAGAGGAGTTGATTTGGGAGTTTCTTAGAGGAAGATGGTTTTCAGGTGATGGCATAATGCCTAATTCAAAATTTGCAGTCACTTGGAAATGCAAGATGAGTTTGGAAGAAGAGTTGGGACTGGATCTGGAATCCATCTCTGTAGAGGTGGAAAATGGAACCCTCAGTGTGGATGGGCTTTCTGAGGGATAGCAAATAAAAATGAAGTAAAAATAATTGTAGAAAGACTAAGCTATGGGCAGCTCCATGTTTCCAGGGGCAAACTAAGAAAAAGTCACAGGGAGACAACAGTTTTATTGGTTGGAGGAAGTCAGCCTAGTGCAGTATCATAGCAGCTACAATAAGGAGAAAAAGACTGTTGAAATCACATTAGAAATGCGTTGGTAATTTTCAAGTATGCAATTTCAGGTGTGTGAGGGGCAAGAGCAGAGTAACAGGGATCCAAGAAAAGTAAGTGGTGACAGTGTGGAAAAAGGAAAGCTTCAAAGAGAACTATTTTGCTAGAGGGAGGCCATGGGATTCAGTGAAGATAGGAGAGATACTGGGTAATTCAGGGAGCAAATTCTGAGAGAAAACAACAGTGGAAGAAAGTAGGACACAGGATGTAGTACGCAAAGGTAAAGTCCTGGAGACAGACATTTTTGTCTTGTTGACCTCACACATCTTGCTGCCTCACACATAATAGGTATGCAGCAAATATTTGTTGAATAGTGGGATAAAGGAATGGGTGAATGGGTTGGCATTGGGCAATAGAAAGGAAGGAAACTTTCATTTGTTTAACAAACTATGATAAATGCTTTTTGTTAATTGCCTCAATATTTATAACTGCCCCGTGAGGTTGGGTATTAAACAACTTTTGTTGTTGTTGTTGTTTTTAGAGACAGGGTCTCACTCTGTTGCCTAGGCTGGAGTACAGTGGCCCAATCGTAGCTCACTGCAGCCTAGAAATTCTGGGCTCACGTGATCCTCCTGCCTCAGCCTCCTGAGTAGCTGGGACTACAGGCACATGCTACCACACCCAGATAATTTTTAAATTTTTTGTAGAGATGGGGTCTTGCTATGTTGCCCAGGCTGGTCTTGTACTCCTGGCCTCAAGCAATCCTCTCACCTCAGCCTCCCAAATTGCTGGGATTACAGGCATGAGCCACCATGCCTGGGCTAAACAGCTGTTTAACACTGTTTTATACAACTGTTGGCTTATGTAAGTCACCTGAGGCTTCATGGTTAATAATTCCATGTCTGTGGAATGCTTTCTACCACACAGTCCTATCCTCCTTGAAACTCACTCCTCCCTGCCCACCCGCCACCCCCAAATCCAGAAATGCTGGATTTCACTATGTTGCTTTAATTAGACTCCTGATTGTAAGAAACTAAGATGTTACTCAGCTAACTGAAGTAAAGAGAGTTAATGATAAGGATTTGCCCAGAGCCCAGGAGGATTAGAGTCTTCTGGAAATCCAAGAATAAATAAGGCTTGTCTGCATGGAAATTGGAACCCATGGGTGGTACTTGGTGAGGTGAAGGACTTCAGGGACAGGAATTCTTAGGTCTTTGCTCCAGCACTTCACCACTAATGTGACGGAGCTGTTCGTCCCTCTGCCTGCTTATTGTCTCACTGTCTATTATGACCTTTTCTCTACCTCAAACCTCCCATTTGCCCACAGGTTCTGCTTCCTGGTAACTTTGGTTCCCCTGATCCTGTGGCTACTTCAGTACCTCCAATATCCCTTCAGCTCATCACTCACTTGTCCTGACCTTTCTTAGTTCCCGTTCCTGAGGAAGGATGTCACCTTTTAAAGCCAAATCATATCTCAGTATACCAGTCATCTGTGTGTTACCTACTACGGCCTAGTCACTGTGGCTCCAGGAGTGACACACAGTGTCACGTGGCACAAAACTTGGCTGCCCAAGGGATGGTCCTTTAGCAGGGGCTATGAATGGGGTACTTTTCCTTTGAAGAGGCTACAGGTTTTTCTTGACATGTCTCATCCATGTAGTCATTTACAAAGTTGCTTATGGTTTCTGTCCAGTAATCATTCAGGGAAATATTGAATGTGAATTTATAAATACTGTATAAACCTTAATATATGCTGACTCCCAGGAGTAGAACTCTGCCTCTAGGATCACGGTAAAACAAGCAGTGCATTGCGTTCTAATTCACAGCATCCAGAGCCATTCGCTCTAATTCCGGTGTGGGCTGGGGTTGCTCCGGGCCTTGCTTTATTTTGCCCCCTTTTTGTAGGGTGTTGGGAGTGAGAGGGGACATATCTTACTGGTATATGGAGAGTTCTTGCTTCATGGGTCAGAAGACTACAAAAGAGGACTGGTCTTTCTCATGTCTTCTTTCTCATCTCACAACTTGCCTCATTAGGACTCTGCACTTTTCTACAAAGAGAGCACACAGGAAGGAATGGCTGCTGTGTCTCCGACAGCCAGATGCCAGGTGAGGTGGAGTTTGGGTTTCTGAAATACTCCAGAATGTAACCACTTCTCTTTCTCTGTCCTGGAACTGCTTTGATCAGACCCAGGCAGGCAGATGAGTAAGTCCATAGGGAGCACTTCCTTTCCATGTGACTTGAAGTGTCCTTTATGACCTTCGCTTGCCTTGAGTGTGTGCCCAGTAGCCTGTCACCAGGCAGACAACCCTTGGAGCTTTTGCTCTGAGTGATTTTGCCTAAAAGCCAATGGTATGGGTCTGATTCGAAGGTCTGGGGGACAGTGAGCTGGTTCTGGTCCTGACTGGCCCTTCAGTATGTCCAGTATGGACTAAAAATAGGCCCCAGTATTCCAGGGAGTGTTGTATTAGGTGGGGGAGTATGATAACACACTGTAGAGCACCTCAGTGAGGTTGGAAGAGTCTTATGTGGGTAGAGACACGTGGCTTGCTCCTTTCCTTCCGAAGGGCAGTCTTGAATTTTGTGCTCTGGCCTAGAAATTTTGCAGACACACTGGAGATTAATCTGAGGTTTTAGAATTAGGGGTAAAGATGCAATCTTATAGAATCACAGAGCATCAGAGTGAAATGAGAAGGATCCTAAAGATGATCTAATCAACGCCATTATTCTAAGGATTTATAAATAAAAAACAACAACAATTGGCAAAATTTGAATAGGTTGTAGATTAAATAATAGTGTAATATCAATGCTATTTTCTCCATTTTTATTATTGTGATTATAACAAGAATATGTCCTTGTTTTACAAAATATACATGAAATATTTAGGAGTAAAGGCACATGATGTTTGCAAGAGGTTCAGGAGAATGTATATGTATAGAAAGACAGGAAGATAAAGCAAATGTGCAGAATGCATTTGGGGAAGCTAGGTGAAGGGTACATGGGAATTTTTTGTTCTATTCTTGCAAGTTTTCTGTAAATCTGAAAAAGAATCCATGATATGTAGAGGCTCAGCTATGAGTACAGTGGTGTAGGATTATGACCAAGAACTTTGTGTCTTGAGTGATTATGCCACTTTCCCCAGGTGCTTCAAAGCCCTACTTGATCAGAACCATTTCCTTTCTACCACTTCCATGGTCTCAAGGGTTATCATCTTTATGACATTTTGGTCTGGTCCAAGTAAAGAGAAGAGCAAGGGAGAATGTGATTGTGTTTTCAGGAATCGGTGACATTCGAGGACGTGGCTGTGGTTTTCACAGATGAAGAGTGGCGGCATCTGGTCCCCATTCAGAGGGACCTCTATGAGGAGGTGATGCTGGAGAACTATAAGAGCATCGTCTCACTGGGTAAGGAGAGTTCACATCTGTGCTGTACTAATGTGGGGTTGAGGGGCTGAGAAATTGATACCTCTTTTTCCCCCACCTGGGTTCTGAGCCACCTAAGAGACAAGTTAAAAGAGTCAAAAGACATGGTATAGGGGTACAGCAATAGTCGGCTGCTTCATACTGAACCCCAGCATTGGACAGACGTGTTCCCCCAGCTGTGAGCAGTGCTGGGCAATCACAGAGTCTCTCGCTCAGCAGCCTGCCCCTGCAGAATGGAGGGAGAGCCAGGGAGGGCTGAGGGATAAAGTGGAATGCGTGCCTGAGGCAGGGAGCTTCAGGCAAACAGAAGAGGCTGCGTTCCCTATACCCACTTCTCCTCCCAGCTCACCAGGCATGTAACTTAGCTCCATCCAGGGGACTGAGCTCTGGGCCAAGGGGCCATCTTGTTGATAGGGAAATTTCTCCTCATGGAAGCCAGAGGAGGGGGAAAGAGGTGTTTTCCTGTAAAAAGAGGGAGATGTGGGGGTAGGAATATAGGGTTGTGCCTCTGAGTAGATCACCAGAGATGTGCTTGATTTTGAATATTTGTCTATGTACAGGCTTAGATGCTCACAGAGACACTTTGCAATTATAGAGACTTGTGTGACAAAAGAGAAAGTTAAGAGCTACTGCTGATGTCATATATTAGTGAGAAGTGAAGTTGGGCTCCTGTAGGTAATGAGAACCTCTCCGGAGCTTCAAGTACTAGGCTGAGAGTCCACAGATTGAGAAGCAGGCTTAAAATGACCAGCAGATGGCAGTAAAACGATTCACACTGCAGATTTAATACAAGGCAGGTCCAAAAAGCAAATGGTAGCACCCCCAGATTAAGCTAATCAAGCCAAATAGTTTCCCAAACAGAGTAGAATGTTTGGGAGGCATTAAGGGAGACTGCTGAGTCTTTGTCACTGGCTTTGGCAGGACGAAATATTAAGGAAAATGGAATTCCTAAGCTCAGAGACAGGAAGCCACAGGTAGGCAGGCGATGCGTATGGCTGTTCTGTCAGCAGAGAATCAGCATACAACCAGAGAGATGATGTAAGAATATGCCTCTCTTTCCCAAGCCAGGGCCCCAGTGCAAGGAAATTTAGAGCTCAAGTCTGTTTCCAGGAGGGAATCTGTGTTTTTATATAACCAAAATGGATAGGTTCATTTCTAGTAATTTATCCCAAGGAAATAATAGGATTAGCAGTCCATGGTATATGAGAATGTTCATCATACCATTGTTTGTTAATAGCAAAACATTAAAAACTTATTATTAGCAGAGGATTCATTAAATAATGTTATTCCATATAATGCAATATCATATAGCCATTAAAATGATGAGGTAGATCTGTGTTAATTGAAATAAAATAATATTTTAAATTTATTATGTTAAAAACATCAATTTTACAAATGAGTATTATTTCATTAGCCAGTTTTTAACAGAATGTATCTATAGGTATCTTTTGGTATCAAAATGCATAGAGAAAAAAATGAATATAAAATATGAAAGGCGATCTTTCTTTTTACTTGTACATACCTCTAATTTTCCTACAATGAACACGACTGACTTGTCTCAATAAAAGCATAATGCTGAAGGTAAACAAACAAACAAAAATGGGTACTTTTGTTGTACTTTTTTAGTCAAGGTGATCTTTTTTCATTCTTACTTCCCCTTAGCCAAGGACCCTCATCCTACCATAGCTTCCCATTCACTTCATGGGGAAGAATAAATACATTAATTCAAATGGGTTTTTTCAGTCTTCTGACCAAATGCCACTTGTTCCTTTTTATTAATAGACCTCAGTCCTGGCCTCCATTCAGAGGTTCCTCTGTCTTGTACTGTACATTCTTGGCCTGAGCATTCTGCCTTTTGTATTTTCTCTCTGAAAGACTTCAGAGGCCAGGACTAAGGTTTAAAATAGTGATGTATTTCATCATATACAGCCACGTGGCTTATTTCTTTCTTCCTGAGCAGGACTTCCAGTTCCTCAACCTGATGTGATTTTTCGGTTGAAGAGAGAAGACTGGCCATGGATAGTAGATCTTCATAGATCTGAGGAGAAAGAATGTCCCCAAAGTGTCTCTCTAGGTAACCGAGTATGAACAGGATGGGGAAGAGTTTTGTTTTGTCTTTGTTTTTTGGCTGTGTGCAGGGTAGTATTGGGTATCATCTTTTTCTCAAATGCAGGTCTTCTTCTTTATTATTTATTTGGTATCATCCACTAGCTTTTATTTTTTTCATCTATACCTTAAAGTAGTATTCGTCTATATTCACTAAATGTTTATTTTCTCGGATCTTTCATGTTGCCCACACACACTTGAATATTCCTATTGATTGCCATCCTCTCCACTCAGCATACTCTCCTAATTGTCCTGGCCATGTTCCCAATGGACATTCTCCTCTTTTCTGAGATGTCCACCATCAATTCTATTCCCTGCCTCCTCCTCCTCTCCCAAGTCTGTCTCTCCCTAGAGTGTAAGACTATTTGTAGAAGCAAGCAATGCAGTGACCATGCATTACTTTCAAATTCATCATAGTATCTCCTCTTTCTGCTGTGCTGTTTTCCTAGCCCTGGAAAAAAGCTACATCTGTGTTTTCTGTTTGTTCCAGACTGGGAGACTAAGCCTGAGATTCAAAATGCTTCAGAAGAAGAAAAATCAGAAGGAGCATCGAGGGAAAGGCTAGGAAGGCAAGGTCTTCTGTGTCCTAAATTTGAAGATCATGCACCAGAGGGTGGGTTGGAAACAGAGAAGGAAAGCCCTACAGTAGAGACTTGTAAGAAATCCCTTTCCCAGGAGAAAAGCTTTTTACAGCAAGGGTCAGCCTCACCCAAGAAAATTCTCACTAAAGAGAAAGACCAGGAATGCAGTGACTGTGGGAAGACCTTTTTTGACCATTCATCCCTTATCCGCCATCAGAGGGCTCACACCGGAGAGAAGCCCTATGACTGTCATGAGTGTGGGAAAGCATTCAGTCACAAGAGCAGTCTCAACAGACATCTGATGTGTCACACTGGGGAAAGCCCGTACGAATGCAGCGCATGTGGGAAGGCCTTCTTTGACCGTTCATCCCTAACTGTGCATCAGCGAATACATACTGGAGAGAAGCCCTTTAAATGCAATGAGTGTGGAAAAGCCTTCTTTGACCGTTCATCCCTTACTCGACACGAGAGAATTCACACTGGAGAAAGTCCGTATGAATGCCATCAGTGCGGGAAAGCCTTTAGCCAGAAAAGTATTCTTACTCGCCATCAGCTAATTCATACTGGCAGGAAGCCCTATGAATGTAAGGAGTGTGGGAAAGCCTTCTATGGTGTCTCCTCACTGAACAGACATCAGAAAGCTCATGCTGGGGAGCCTCGCTACCGGTGCATTGTGTGCGGCAAAGCTTTCTTTGACCGCTCGTCCCTCACGCAACATCAGAAGATCCATAGTGGAGAGAAGCCATATGAATGCAGTGAATGTGGGAAAGCCTTTAGCCAGAGATGCCGGCTCACGCGGCATCAGAGAGTTCATACAGGAGAGAAGCCCTTTCAATGCAGTGTGTGTGAGAAAGTTTTCAGTTCGAAATCATCAATTATCCAACATCAACGGCGTTATGCCAAGCAGGGAATAGACTGAGTTGGGTGAAAACTTGAGTCAGACAAAAGACCTCCATAAAAATTTGAGATAGGTCTCCCCTATCTTAAACCCACCATTTGCTCATTCTACCCATTCTGGCTACTGTTCTCTCGTCCTCCCTCTGCTCCAGAGTGTTTAATAAGCTCTCTATTCCTACTGTGTTATAGAACTGATGGGAGTGGGCAGAAACTAGGAAATAACTCTAAAGATTCAAAATTTTGGAAAGGTGTGTCAGACAGTAGGGTAGATGTTAGGAGGAGATCCAGAGATACACCTCTTGTCTGAGAACCTAGACCCCAGGTATCACCGCACTTTAAATAACTAGAGGCTGCAACAGGAAGGAAAAGCCAAAATTGTATCAGAGCAGCACTGGTGTTTTAAGAACAGTTGTTTAGATAGCTGGTAGTCCCTCTCTGTTGGAGCTTTTTGGGCACAAACCTTGTTCTCTTGTGTCCCAGCTTTTAGATATCTTAATACCACTACTGCTAATAGCCAGCACTTACTGACTGCTTATTATGGGTAAACACTCAGCTAAGAGTTTTATAGGGAATAGATTCATTGATCCTCTTACCAACCTTGTGAAGTAGGTACTGTTACTATCCACGTTTTACAAATGAGCACACTGAAGTTTAGAGAGATTAAATCACTTGCCCAAGGGGACACAGCTGGTGAAAGGTGATGCCAGGGCTTGAATACAGGTCTACCTTCAAAGTCTGTTCTCTTTACCATTATGCTCTAAGGTTTGTTTGTGTTATAATTTATGTACATATATTGTCTCAACTAGATTGTAAGCACTTGGAGATGTGACTTAGAGGTTTTTGTATCTCACACAGTGCCTTACAAATGATAAGTGCTCAGTTAATATTTATCTGACTGAATGACTTTTCTACTTACCAGGTTCTCTCCATTCAAAACACCTCTTGGATTCACATCCTTTGAATTTTCACAGTCTAGCTTGTACCTTTATGATCCCTGCTCCCATTACTACAGTAGTCACTTCTTAATTCTAGTTCTTTCCTCCTTCTTCATTACTGAAGAGGGATATGCTAAGCTATGGTACAGTAACAAGCCCCCAAATAAACAAAGATTTATGTCTCACATAAAATCTGATGTGAGCAATTCTGTGTTACTTCATCTTCATCATCCATAACATTTGGTGTCCAAAGACACCATGAAGGAGGAAGAGGTAGCTAGAGGGATTTGTGTGGTATTTTTAAGGGCCAGGCTTACATCCCTTCTGTCCACATCCAGTAAGCCAGAGCCCAGCACCTGGAAGCTAGGAAAGCAAACAAGCACCAGGAGCCTCTGCCACAGTGACATTTTGCATATTACTGTTAGGCCAGTCTTTCCATAAGACCCCTTCCTGTCCATCATTGCCTTCCTCAAGCCCTAAAACAGCTCCCTATATTTAATGAAAACCTCTCTGAATATTTAAGGTCTGCCTTAATGTAATTCCAATTGCTGAACTTAACATCCTGACTCCCCAAACTCTTAGTACCTGGGCCCTGGCCTATATTTTTATTTTATTAAAAGACAAGCACTAGGTGATGGTAACTGCAGGCATCTGCATTCCCTTTCTATTTGCTTAAGGTGAAGTCCAGAAAAGGACTTGGTTCTTGGTTCTGAAAGGCTGTCTGAAATTAGATTACCCTACATGAATCTCAGTGGATCAAGATGAATTTCCCTCAGAAGTTAAATTTGAGAAGCTGAATTGCCAAACAGACCCCTCCCCAACATACTAACAACCTGTTATTCTTGGTCCACCTTACAGCAGATAAGCAGCAGGGAAGACTTTTTGTGTGTGGACTTTTGAAGCAACTTGAGGGAAAACGTCACAGAATCTATGGGTGTGGATAACATCTGATATTGTTTAATGTCAATTAGAAAATAAAAGGAACTATTGACAAACTGTTGGCTATGGCTGTCTCAGAGCTCTGAATCTTTGAAACAGAGTAAGAATGTAAATTTGATAGTTTTCCCTTTGTTTCCTTTTTAAATTTGGTGATCAGAGCATTTTTTAAAATGTGGAATACTATTCCATCTCCCGGTGAAAACTCTGAAGAAAGGGCCATTTTACCTTTTAATTGGTATCTCCCAATATGGCTTGCAGTAGTGGAGGCCTTAAATTTTGTGATTATAGCTTCACCTAATGACCATTAAAAGGAGCAAATCTTGGAAACAAATTGAAATTGGAACTATGCCAGCATTCTTAAGGTATAAAGCAAAAAAGACTGGGTAGTGTTTCTAAGCCTTGAGCCTAAGACTTTAAAAGAGGTTTCAAAGGGGGTGCTGTAGCTTGCACCTGTAATCCCAGCTACTGGGGAGGCTGAGGCAGAAGGATTGCTTCAGCCCCCGTGTTCCAGGCTGTAGTGAGCTATGACCGCACCATTGGAGGACAGCCTGAGTGACAGTGCAAGACCCCATCTCTAAAATTACTAATTAAAAAAAGGAGTTCCAAAGGAATGAAATAATATCTGTGGTACCAAATAAATCCCATCTAAATTTTAAGAGCATTGAGTACTTACTACAAATGAACAGAAGCACTCCATGAGTCAACTCTTTAAAGTGAAGGGTCAGCAATGCTAAAGAAGCTTCAGGTGAAGAGAATGTGGCAGATGGAGGAAATCTGGACACTGCAGCTTGACACAGATGGTTGGCAGGACCACCAATCCCAGAAATGTATCTGGGGTGTCAGGATGCCAGGGTGGCCAGCGGGAGGGTTGGCCAGCTTTGGAGTTCAGCTCTACCCACTGCCTCACTCCTCCCCAGACCTGTATGTCCAAGAATAACCCTTGTGCAAGTCTTACATGATAAATAGCACAGAGCTGAAGAAGGGGCCTCAGGAACAAGGATACCAGGTTAGACAACATCAATATGTTCATTTTCAATAAAAAGAACGATGATTCATCAGGAAGTCTAAGAAAATGACTGCAGTGGATGTCCACTTCTTAAGTAGGCTACCGTGTAGTCCCCAACCCCTGGGCCATGGACTGGTACTAGTCCCTAGCCTGTTAGGAACCAGGCACATCAGGAGGCTCTCAGATCACTGCCTGAGCTCCGCCTCCCCCACCCATGGAAAAATTGTCTTCCATGAAACTTTGCATAGCAGGAGGTGAGCAGTGGGTCGAGCCAGCCAAGCTTCATCTATGTTTATAACCGCTCCCCATCACTGGCATCATCACCTGAGCTCCACCTCTCCCCCTCCACCACTCCCCATCCTCCTGTGCACCCTGTCTGTGGAAAAATTGTCTTCTATGAAACCAGTCCCTGGTGCCAAAAAGGTTGGGGACTGCTGGTGAGGCAAGACTCCTGTGGTAAAAAGGTGAAAAAGAAGTCAATGGGCCATGTCAAGTTAGAGTGATAGGAATCCTGGAGGGTGTCCCGAAGGTGTCCCTGAAATGCATTTACAAGAGTTTGAATGTACTGGGGAAATGTATATATTAGCTTGCATTGATGGTAGAAGCATGAAGATCATAAAGCACCACCATGAGGAGTATATATGGACACAGGCCTGGCCCTGGAAAACTGGCACCTTTTCCCTCCAGCACCATGAAACACCAGATCACTTTGAAGAGACCCTAATATCTATGCCTGAGTGCAGGTATTTTAAATCAGTGCTATCCAATAGGTACATAATGCTAGGCCATGTTTTAAAAAGTGAAAATAGTTGAAATTAATTTTAATGTTTCATTCAAATATTTCAAAAATTTCATTTAAATATTCTAACGTAGTCGATATGAAAATTATTGAGATATCCTACATTCTTTTTTTAAAAAACTAAGTCTTCAAAATCTGGTGAGTATTTTACACTTACAGCACATCTCAAATTTGGGCTAGCCACATTTCAAGTGCTCAACAGCCACATGTGGCTAGTGGCTACTGTCCTAGACAGCACAGTTTTGCACTCATTCTCTTTTAAGATATCTGAAACTATGTGAGCGGAGGGAAATTGCTCAGGAAAAGGGATAGTATAGGAAGAGAAAAGGGTTTAGAACAGGTCCTTGAGGAACATCATGATTTAAATGGCATGAAAAGCCATCAGAGGAAAATGAATAGAAGGAGATAGAGAGGTAAGAGAAATACTAGGTGATAGCAATGTCACAAAAGTCAAGAGAAAAGACGTTCAAGAAAGAGGGAATGGTCAAAAAGCACTCAAAGTTGCCAAGTGATCCAGGGAGACAAAGTCTGAGAACTGTCCACTGGGGTTTATCAGTGACATGGATGGTGCAGCCAAAGTCACATTGGAATGAATTTAATATGAGTGAGAAGTAGAGGGCAGAAATGGTAAGTGCCTACCATGCTGCGCAGTTTGGCTTTGATGGGAAGGAGAGGGAGGCAGCTGGAGGGGGATGTGAGGGAGTTTAAAAATGTTTAAATTTCTTTAAAAATGGAAGAGATATGTAGACCAAATGGAATAGAACAGAGAGCCCAGAAATGAATTCTCCTTATATGATCAAATTAATTTTGACAAGGGTGCCAAGACGATTCAATGGGGAAAGGACAGTCTTTGTAATAAATGATGTTAGGACAAATGGATATCTAATGCAAAAGAATGAAATTGGACCCTTACCTTATATGCAAAAATTAACTCAAAATGGATCAAAGACCTAAATGTAAAAGATAAACCTATAAAGGTCTTAGAAGAAGACATAGGTGAAAAGCTTCATGACATTGGATTTGGCAATGATTTCTTGAATATGACACCGAAAGCACAGTCAATAAGAAAAATAAATAAATTGAACTACATCAAAATTAAAACTCTGTTCATCAAAGGAAACTCACCAGAGTGAAAAGGCACCCCATGGAATGGGAGAAAATATCTGCAAATCATATATCCAATAAGGGGTTAATATATGGAATATAGAAAGAATGCTTACGACTCAATAACAAAATAACAAACAACCTAATTGGAAAATAGGCAAAGGACTTGAATAGACATTACTCCAAAAAGATATACAAATGGCCACTAAGCACATGAAAAGATGCCCAACACCACTAATCATTTAGGGAATGCAAACCAAAACCACAATGAGATACTATTTCACATCCTTAAGGATGACTATTATAAAAAACAAAAATAAAATAACTGGTGTTAGTGAGGATGTGGAAAAACTGGAACTCTTGTACACTGTTGGTGAAATGTAAAATGGAGCTGTCAATATGGAAAACAGTATGGTGGTACTTCGGAAAATTAAAAATGGAATTACCATATGATCCAGCAATTCCACTTCTAGGTTTATGCCCAAAAGACTTGAAAGCAGGGACTGAACGGATATATTTGTACATCTATGTTCACAGAAGCATTATTCACTAGAGCCAAAAGGTGGCAGCAACTCAAGTGCCCACTGGTGG